GACCGATCACCCTTGACAACTCCAGAGGCAAAGAACAAATAGTCAGGCAAGCAGGATCGCACCTAACCCAAGATATATGTATACAATAGTGATAACTGATATTCATTGTACCTACTCGCTACAATTAACTTATTGTCATGATGTCATATTTTAAGTAATCGGACCATTAGTGTCACTCGTGGTGGCATACCTACTCACGTCGTATACCCCCCGTAAAACCCTCGACCACCCTCCATACCTATGGAGTACGCCGTAACGGCCTACGGATAAGAAGACAGAACAATACGGGTACTACGATATGGTTTATTAGGCTGATTTGCGATTATGTGAAATCGTGGGTAAAACTAATTTTGATCAGCTGTTATTTGTTTTGTTCGCTGTGGACGATTAAAGTCTGGTTCCATGGTTACATGATATGGAAGTAAACCTTATACCTGGTTAACGTTAATCACATACCAACAATACGTTGAGTGAATAAACGGTTATAATTTAGGTTATAATTTTATAAGATAACTGATAAGTCATAACAACAATATTTGAATCGTGACTCGTGAGTCGGTAATAAGTAGGTATTACCTAATATTTAATAAAGTTTTTTATTTGTTAATACTTAACAATTTTAAGTGTTTAAATTTTAATGGTGAATTTATAATATTATTAGTTCTTGTATATGTATACTTAAATTATAATATTTACCACTTTTTGTATTTTATTTAGTAATTTAATCAAACATTTAAGTACCTAAATTGGTTAATCGCACGTGAATTGGATAATTTGCAATTCAATTTATACAATGGTACCTATTGGTAAGTTTTACTAGTTGGTAGTTTCAAAAATTAAAATTAATAAAACAATATATCTCATTAACTTAAAACATTTTGATTTCAGTTCAATCATTTATACATATACAATTTTTGTTCAAATGTCTACCTAACCAATGAAACACTGGTACTTAGTAAATACAAAATGGAATATTACTACGGTAATTATAGTTACAACCATCTAAGATGTTTCTGAGAGTTTTTTTTTGTATTTTACTTGCACATTTAAATGTGGCATATTGATAGTCTATTAAGACCGATGATTTGAAGCACAAACTGGGTCTTTAAAATGTTGTCTGATAGTAGATTTCACAATGAAATATGTAAATCAGGAAAATCAATATTATACATATTCAATATTAAATATTTTAAATATTTCAACAGACTATAAAATAAATTAAGTGAGTATTAATATCTTTAACTGTAATATTATTAAATTATTATATTGACATACAAATATTTTAAATAATCAGGATTATTGGGAAGAAGTAGAAAAAATCTAGTTGGACTATAACTACACATTACCAATGATATGTATTGAAAAGATGATGTTGTTGTAATTGCAGAAAGTGAAAAAGACATAACTAACATGTTCGAAGAAATGAACGACACGCTTAAAGAACACTTAAACTTCACATACCTATTCAATCACAAGCGATGAGAAAAGTCGTACATATACAGTATATAGAATAGCGCATGCCAAACAGGCCTACTATAAAAAAATTAATCTTTTTACCTCAAATAGAATAAGTTGGGACAGCAGAAAATCACTTATAAAAGGCTTTGTGTGGAATGTAGATCTATATGGAGCAGAGATTGGGACACTACTGAAGACTGAGAAAGCCAAAATAAAAACTTTTAAAGTATGATGTTGGAAAACGCTGAAAATTCAATAGACAGAAAAGATAAAAAAAAATGTTGAGGTATTCAGGAGAATCAAAAATCAATACAGAGTACGCTAAGATTGAGAAGAAAAGCATGGATCGGACACGTAATCAGGAGGAAACCTGGAAAAGGAAGGTCTAGAACTCCATTTCTGAAGCAAGTGATTGAAGATACCAGAATAGGAACATACTGGAAGTTGAAGAGGAATATAAGTGGAGAGGGACATCAGTAATCATTTAACCGATTTTCGGAATGAAAAAAAAAAAAAAATAATGTATTGAAAACTAAAAATTGTGCTAATGTTAAAGCTTTATAATTTGTATGCTAGTTTATAAATAATTTAAATTAAATTAGGTGACAACATCAATCATTATAACTTAAAAGATAATATACATAGATATAGATATTTATTTTGTGTTTAATATGTAGATTATGTCCTAAATCAAATTAAGAATTTTTAGCTGGCTATGTGATTAATAATAATTTTATTTTTTTTTTTATTTTAACATTTTTTTTTTTTTTTACGGACAAGCCCTTTAACAAAAGAGATTTAATAATCTAAACATCCAAAAACATTAGTCTACTGTGCTACATTGTATAATGTCATAATGATAAATACTAAATTATTTCTGTCAATGATTGGTGTTGTCACCAAATAATAATTAGCACTAAATTCAAGTTAGAATATTATTAACACCATTTTTAAATTTTGCTTTTTAAGTCTGGGGTGATTGAAAAGTTTGTTTTAATTTTTTGAATACACGTTTTATCTTTACTCATATTTTGCATATTAACTGCAAAACGAACATTGAGATTAAACTGTATCATCATTTTGAAATAGGTTTTTCATAGTCCTAGGCTTATTAAGGTAAAATTGTTTAATGGTTCATAATAATATCAGTATAATATGTGAGGAATTTTTCCGTGAACAGGGTTCAGGGCTAAACAAAACCTAAAATCATCAAATCAAACGCTTAAAAAAACATTTAAATAATCAAAATTAAGCAATCTAAAAAATGGTTATTCTCTCCCTAGTTTTTGTTAGTGGTTATCACTTGCATCATATTAAAGTAGAAAATATACATTAAAAAATTTAAAACGTGGGGTGCTATTATATTTCATATTTTAAAAACATTAAATTGGGGGTATTTCACTATAATAATGATAGTTAAATCTAAAAAAACAAGAGGTGCTAAAGACCCGTTTGCACCCTGTAGTTGCGCCAATGGTCTCAAACCCTATTCACGACATTGAAAATATTTTTTTTTTTTTTTACATAAAATATAATTATATAAGTTGATCAGTGCCCTATATGTATATTTGGATGTATGTCATTATTATTTAAATACCTACATATTGATTAAATTCATGTGATTCGTCAAAAAGACCTAGTCCTACAAAGTATATTACAACTATTGAAGCTATGTATGGTGAATTATTTATATTATACTAATATTTGATTTGAAATTGTAAATGTATTAAATTGAAATTGCAAACATCAAAAAAAAGAGTTGTTTATACTTAATATTAAATTAGTTCAGAGTATTGTATTTCCAGATTTGTAATAAACATGCTCAAATGATATTTTATATGAGAAGAGGATATTTGATTTGTTAAAAAAAAAAAAAAAAAATTATCACTAAAATTTAAATCCTAATAGGCATTTACATGTTCAAAGTATCCAAAAGGTAAACAGCATAAAATAGATATATTAAATTTATAATAATAATTAACACATTATTTTGTATTAGTTAAATCTACCAAAGCTATACACAGTTATATGTATAAAAATAAAAATTAAGTTACCTATTAAGTTAATTTATTGTTAATATTATGCCATTATGGTCCATTATTAAATATGGTTATTATATCATATATTGTATATTTATGCAGTATGCACCATGCTATAAATTATAATAGTCAGTAACGAGTAACAGACAACTACAGACAATAAATTATTGTACACTACTACAGCAGCGATTTAAAACAGTTAACAGTTGTTGCAACTGTACTACAGGCAGTCTACTAGAGTAACAAAAACGGGATTTTATTTGTGACATAAATAAACAGCAAGTTACTGTTACTATTTATTTTGGAAATACACATGTTGGTAACACTGTATTTTCTGTATGATAGACAGTTATAATGATAAACCATGGACAACATTAACTTTTATGGAGTATGGATTAAAATAAAATAATTCTGTATTTCCGTATGTTAGTCTATGCCCTATGGTGTGTCGTAGCATAGAATAGAGATTAAATTGTGATCGAAGCTACAAAGTACAAACAGAAGCAGTCCAATAATAATATGATCGTTTGTTATTGTATGTAGGTATTGTGGCGAACCAGTGTTCACCACATGCTCCCTCCCTATGTCGGTCGCGCTCCCAGTGTTGGCAGCACCGCTCGGCCCTCCGCGTCGTTCGCGACCGCGAAGCGTCGGGCGGCTGCCAACGGGCTCTCGCTCGGCAACCGTCAACCGACGTACACGACGTGCACAGTCCGTCCCGCCGCCATGTTTCGACGCCGTTCAAAAACCGCCGCACAATGACGCACGTGTCCGCGTTTCGTCGTCCCGTCTAAAAACCACGTCAGCACGCCCGCAAGCACGCCGCCGCTACCACTGGTACGCTCACGGCACCCCGAGGCACGACTTTGGTTTTTACCCTACGACGACACCGCGCGCCCACGACTCACATGACGCCGCACCCGAGCGCCGCCGACATTTTCGCCACTGGCTAATCAAAACTGTTCCTTAACATCTGGCTTACAATAAATACCGTCTACTCGCAAAACCAACCCGAGTGTATTTATTTCATTCCCCCTGTTTATGTTGGCCGCGTAAGTTGCGTGAACCTCACCTAAAACCTACGCGCGCCACATTGGTGACCTCTTCAAAAACGAACACGCACGCCGAACACGTGCTCCAACACCGCGTAAGTCGCGCACGCCGAACACGCGCTCCAACACCGCGTAAGTCACGCACGCCGAACACGATGACAGCTCAGACAGACCAGCAACACGGCTTCTCCGGCGCTCCGGATCAGGTACTCAGCCGAGCACACATGGTTGCGCTCAATACCTCGACTCCGCAGGCCAGCTCCGTCCGAGTTCTCTCCATGCCGCACACGCTGTTCATCGTGCAGGCAAGAACTCGCGTTCACCACCGGTCGGACGCTCCGACCCCGCGACCTCCATCGCTCAAAGAGCAGATCCGTCGCACGCCGCCTCCGCCGCCGGACATCACTCGTCTCTGTCATCGTTCTCAACTCTCAAACTAAACCAACCAGCATCAATCAACTCCAGCTATCAATACGTCAAATTCTAAATTCCGCTTCACCTCATTCATCATCTCAATCCCAAAATCAACGCAAAATTCATTCGTCATCTCAAGATACACTCGCCCGCCGTCCTTCCGTTTGAGCAGAAAGCGCGCACGTCTCCGCACCCCGCAGCATCGCTGCATTGAGACGCGCGCGTGAGTACGATCGCAGTTGGACGGTTGGCGAACCGTCATCTTCGAGACCGCCGTCGCGGGGAACCGCATTTCGCGCAGCACCGCGCCTCCTCCGAACCGCCCACCACCCGCCTGTGTGGAACGCACGCGTATCGTTGCTACAACGGCACTGCCACAGCCCACGTGCGCGTGTAAGTACGGCACGGGTACACGGCGGCTAAGAGTTCGCGCTCATCGCGCGATCGGTTTCTCGCCTCTTCAAAATTCATCTTCAAGCCAAATCGCCCGTCAACTTCGACTCATTCTGTCAACTTCAATGCAACTTCGATTCATCTTCCGCCGACTTCAATTTTCAACTTCCATCCACTGCAAACTCATCTCCATTCGCATCTTCAATCAACATTCATTCATCTTCCTTCAACGGCCTCTTTCGACTTTCAGCATCTCAACCTCAGCTTCAAAATTTTGTAAAAAAAAACCTGTAAATATTTTTCTTTTTTTTAAAGGGGGGAGTAATGTGGCGAACCAGTGTTCACCACATGCTCCCTCCCTATGTCGGTCGCGCTCCCAGTGTTGGCAGCACCGCTCGGCCCTCCGCGTCGTTCGCGACCGCGAAGCGTCGGGCGGCTGCCAACGGGCTCTCGCTCGGCAACCGTCAACCGACGTACACGACGTGCACAGTCCGTCCCGCCGCCATGTTTCGACGCCGTTCAAAAACCGCCGCACAATGACGCACGTGTCCGCGTTTCGTCGTCCCGTCTAAAAACCACGTCAGCACGCCCGCAAGCACGCCGCCGCTACCACTGGTACGCTCACGGCACCCCGAGGCACGACTTTGGTTTTTACCCTACGACGACACCGCGCGCCCACGACTCACATGACGCCGCACCCGAGCGCCGCCGACATTTTCGCCACTGGCTAATCAAAACTGTTCCTTAACATCTGGCTTACAATAAATACCGTCTACCCGCAAAACCAACCCGAGTGTATTTATTTCATTCCCCCTGTTTATGTTGGCCGCGTAAGTTGCGTGAACCTCACCTAAAACCTACGCGCGCCACAGTATTATCGGCTGTCAGGTACAAAGATTATCACCGCTATATCTTGGGTCGAACGATATCGAATTTATTACTTGTAACTTCTGGTCTTTATAATTGATAATAATTATTACGACCACTGACCAGCGCCGCAATCACCTTCGTGGGGTGAACTTCATGACTCCCTGAAAGATGGGCATAATAAAATACATTTAGGGGCTCTAAGTACTTTATGAACTGATTTGAAAAGTGTGATATATTTTGCCCTGGGACATAAAAATCCTGATAGCTGCGGTATCTACTGACGAGGTATAACACATTTACACACTATAACTATCTCCAAAAACCACCTAACTTTGAGGAGCAATACTCATCAACGGATTAACGAAAAATGAAAATTTGAACGTAATAATTAATGAAAAAAATAGTTTTATTCAATTATGAAATTTTTAGTATAGGTTACCATTTGAAAATCAAAAGTTGATAGTGGTTTACCTATTAAATATAAGGGTGAAAAATATAAAAAAATATACAATTCTAGAACAGCATAAATCTACAATTTTGAAAAAAAAAAAATTTGAAAAAAGTCAATACTTTTTCAAATAATGAGTGTTGTTTGATAAAAGAATCACCCTGTATACACGGAAATAAATCAGAATTACAATTGTTTAATGTTTTAACGGCTGTACTAGGACGATCGTTCTGAGAATGTGAGATCCATTTCCTATTCCATAGTTTAATTTCTGTTTGTAATAAATCCATATCTATATAGTCAGAATATAAATTAAAATCTGTAGCTGATATTGCAGATTTATGACACATTTTTGGTATTAATAAATATAAAGAAGACAAAACTGTTTCGTGTTTTGAAAATCTATCATTTAGTTGGTTGAATAAAATCGTCATAAAAAGGAATAGCAATAGCTATACGAAAATATTCTTCTGCAGAGTTAACATTAACGTTATTTCTATTTTTTTGACGTCCAACTAGTCTTGACATTTTTATCTGATCCTCTCCGTCTATCAACTTTAACATATTTTTTGCCTTTTCAAATATTTCTTTAAATGTTTGGTTTATATTGATTCTTAATGTCTTCAACTTCATTCAAAACAGTTTCGACAAATGTCACTGCTTCACTTTAATCACATGTTACTGATTGTAATGATCTACATAAAGGTAATGTTAATGAAAATAGTGTGTTGGCTGTCACTAAACTAATAACAAATTCACTAGTTGTTATGCTACGATATAGATTTAGTGCTTTTGATGATGTTTCAATATCATGACATAATTGGAGTTCATCTAAAGTGTCGACAATAGGTTTATATATATCTAAAAATCGAATCATTCCATCGTGGTTTTCGACCCACCGAGTTTCACACATAGATGTTAATTTAGCCCATTTTGTTTCGGGAATAAATTCTTTAATTTTATTTTTTAACAACTCAGTTCGTCTAGCAGAAACTTTAATGAAATTACCTACTGATTTAATTGTTCCGATCAATTACGAATGTAATAAATATTCGAAGAATATGCTAGTGCTAAATTTAATGAATGTGCACTACAATGAACGTAAAGGGTGGCAGGGTGTTTTTCACGTACCACAGATTGTACGCCTTTGAAATTTCCACTCATAGATGCTGCGCCGTCATACCCTTGTCCTAACGTGTACCGACTATTAACACCGAGCCTTTTTAAATTTTCTAAAATTACTGTTGCCAAATTTTGTCCTGTTGTAGAATATACCGGTATAAATTGTAAAAAATCTTCTTTTAGTACATATGAAATATCATTTTTAGCATCTATAATTTGCTCCAAATATCGCACACATAACGATAACTGTTCAAAGCAAGATATATCAGTTGTCTCATCAACCAATACGGAAAAACACTTTGATTTGTTTATTTTTTCTACTATTTGTTCCTGTATAATTTTTCCGCAAATTTCAATAAAATTATTTTGTATTAAAGGACTTAAATAAAAAGCATTTAATTTATTATTTTCAAAATGGTCAATTGAGTTTTTATCGTCACATGAAACATGCATTCGCAATAAAGCACGAAAATTTCCATCATTTTGTTCGGGTTCGACATCTTTTGATGAAAGTGGTCCGGAATCATTAGTACCACGAAAAGCTATTTCTTTCCGGCCACATAAAATTATAGTTTCAATTATCGGTATTAATCTTTTTCGATTTAAACTTATTTGTGCAGCACGCGCTGAATCTAATTTTTGTGCAATATTTTGCTGATTTTTTTGAATAGATAGCTATAAAATTATCACCTCGTAAAACGTTGGTTTTATGAAAATCTTTTTTAGAATGTACACTAAATACTTCAATTGCATGTTTCCAATTATTAAAAATTTTGAATACTAAAGAGGAAAGTTTTTGATTATTGCCTTTACCTCCAAATGTTTGACCAAATATTACACAGTATTTACATAGGGCACCACCATTATCAATTGTCGAGTAAACAAGCCATGGAAAACGTTCAAACCAGTTAAAATGAAATTTTAGTTTTTTTTTTGAAGTTGTGGATGTTGGAAATACATACTTTTTATCTGGCATCCAAGGAGAAGTTAAAAATTTTAATTTTAGTTCATCACACACATTTTTATTCAAACAGTAACTAATATCGTTGTTTTCAACCTCAATTGTTTCGTTATAGTTTGAATTTAACCCATTATTTTCCTGATCAGATGATAAGTTAATATCTACTTGTGTTTGGACAGTGGGGACATCATCAGTCTAAAATAAATAAAGTAGTAGGTACTTTTTAATTGGTCTATACTATAGGTATATTTTATATAATAATAATCAAATAAAAAAGTAAATTTTTAACATACCTTTAGTCTCTTTGTAAAATAATTTTGAAGTTGGTTTCTTTTACTCATTTTTTACAGATTATGTGAGCACGAACAGCAGTAAAATGAATATTTTACAATACACACAATATTGTTATATTCTTGTTTCATAATCTTAAATAATTTGGATTTTCTGCGACCGAATTTCATATATAAGTTTATATCATCTGTGACAATCACCTTTTATTGTAAGTTGTAACTATATAGTACCTAACCGTATCTATCAATCCTAATCTTTATTACGACGTTGAAATAAAATAAAATGATACATATTATCTTATTTTAAATTACTGCTTTAACGAAAATATACAATTATTATTTAATACAATTTATAGTTAATAAACTATATTCACCGCTAAAATGTTTCTACTTTTAAAAATTTCGGGGGGGGGGGCCTGGACCCCCCCCAGTTACGGCCTCGCTTCAGGTACTATTACTAAACGTAAACCAGTAAACATACAAATACGATGACTATCGATGAACGACTGAATCATACGTGCTTCCTAAACCCGGCTACAATTACAAATAAATATGGACAAAAATAAATGGTCGTTTTTAATTTTGACTTTTCAAATTAATTTACAAAAACGAATATTTGAGTAAAAATAAATAATAAGTATCCGTATTATTTATAAATATTATTTATTTTTAACTATCAAATAATACGTGACCAAATACAATAGCTTAATAAATAAATAGCTAGTACCTAACTATCCGTAATTTATTGTCGTGTAGTATCCATAATATTATTATTATTATTATTATTACTACCTAGGAGGCTAGGTATATATTATAATATTATACAGTGAATCCTCTAATTCCGGACATTCCTAGTCGCTGAAATTGTGTCCGTTATTCGGAGGTGTCCGCTATTCAGAGAGTTTAAATTGTAAAAAGTTTGTAGTTGCTTCACAAGAAAACGTCCGCTATCGGGAGGTTTTCAATATTGAGATAGGTCACATTTGCATATGCGCTAGGTGCTACCGTATTCCTGGTCTAGGCAAACGAATGGTGAAAACACGAGTATTCCCATGGCTGGTGTACTTGTCGAGTATATTGGCGTTCCTTTGACTTGTGACACGTTTACCGACAATCCTCGGGAAATGCACCAGTGACAAATAATTGTACAAGTATACCGTTCCCACTACATGGCAAGTATACACAAGTGACAAGTATACACCACGAGACTGTAATGTCTAATATAAATAATAACCACAGGCACACGATAAAGTATAAATAATAATACAATATAACTAAATATATAATACCTATAATGAAACTATAATAGGTAGCACGGACTAAGATATACATATATATTATATATATGTACGTAGTAGGATCAAAAAGTTCACGGAATTTCATTTTATTTTTCTATGTATATACGTACAATTTAAATATAAATCTACTTAATTTACTTAATCTCCTTCAAAATACCGTCCTTCAGCACAGACACACTTACTCCAACGACTTTGTAACTGCTGGAAACATCTTTGGTATCCCTCTATCGGAATGGCCCTGAGATTTGCTGTTGCGTTAACTTTAATGTCTTCAATTGTCGCAAAACGTTCACCTTTGAGTCCAAGTTTTAAATTTGGAAACAGCCAGAAGTCACATGGAGCAATGTCTGGCGAATACGGGGATTGTGGAATTGTATACATTTTTTTATCCGTTAAAAATTGCCGAACTCCAAAAGACGAGTGGCATGGTTCATTGTCATGATGCAAAAACCAACCATTTTCCCATTTTCTTTGCCTTTTTCTCCGAATTGAATCCCTTAAACGCTTTAAAACTTCAATATAAAAACTTGAGTTGACTGTTTGTCCATTAGTTACAAATTCCCAGTGAACTAACCCTTCATTGTCGAAGAACAAAATCAACATGACCTTCAATTGTGATTTGAAAACATGTGATTTTTTGGCCTCGGTGACGTTGTTGTGTGCCATTCTGATGACTGCAATTTTGTCTCTGGGTCATAAGCGAAAACCCAAGTTTCATCGCCTGTAACGATTTTTGATAAAAAATCTTTTTCATTTACGGAACTTTCGAAAAGTTCAGCGGCAATCAATTTTCTGTTTTCCATTTGGTCTTCGGTCAAAATGCGTGGAACAAATTTCGCACAAACGCTCCGCATTCCTAAATCATCTTTCAAAATGTTTTGAACTGAACCATACGATATTCCTAATACATTTGCCATATCTTGAATGCGTAAACGACGATCTGATCGAATTCTGATGTATACTCGCCGGGTGTCACCGGTTTCCGCCAATACCTTTTTCCGCCAAATCAGAAAAAACGTCATTCCTTTTTCCGCCAATTATAAATTATTGAATTTTAAAGTTTAGGAACCCTTACGTAAAGATTTAATGATTGCACACTATAGAGTTAAAAAATAATAATATTTTTTCCAGTTATTACTTATTATATATTAGTAATGATATTAGTTGTTCGCGCCGGGAACGATACAATTATAGCTCGTGCGCCCGGTACCGCAATACTTGTACGCAACGTTCACACACCGATCGACTTGTGTTTGTGTGTATATATGTTATAGCGACTCAAAGGAAGTGGACGGGTTCGCCGAGCAAGACCAGAGAGTGCTAGTGTGTGGTGGGTGTGTGAGTGTGTAGATGTGAGAGTGTGTAAGCTTATAAAATAATGACAGAAGGGTAACTCTATTTAATAATGGATAACACGGTTGCTGGTGGATGATGGTTTGCTGTATAATACACAATCTCAATAATAAATTTACAATAATATAAAAAAATCACAGCAACACCAAAATATAAAAATATAGACAACAATAATATACGTATGATTGGTCCTTATGACCGATCAAAATAATATAACAATATTTAAGTGAAACTCACGGATATGACGGTACTCGGCTGGCCAGCTGCTACTTATCCTATATAACAATAAATAAAAATGTGGCGATTCGCGCCCGCACAATAATAATGTTGGCGATTTGCGCCTTACAATAAATAAATTTTGGCAATTCGTGCATTTTTACAAAAAACTAAAATCCGCGACGGTGTTCGCTCACGACGACGGACGGAGGTAGATAGACAAATTACGGCGGCTGTGTTAAAAACAATAATAATCGCGCAGACGGCACGGCGGCGATGATAACCTACATATTACATAATAATTCACAATCACGTAATTAACAAAAATAAAAACAATATAGCAATGTGCATGTGTGTGTGTGTGTGTGCGACAGTCGGTGTGGACGGACTATTATGACGCTACCGCCGGCGCGAACATTCTCCCCCCCGTTGAAAAATCTATTTTTCAACAGACTCCTCTGAATCGATTGGGAGCTTGCAAAGTTTTGCGACTGGACGGCGCATTGTTTTACCGGAAGAGTTACGTATGGACACAACCCTTACGTTACCGTCACAACCTAGATGTAGTTCTATAACGCGTGCTAAGTGCCACTTAAAGGGCGGTAGGTTGTCTTCCTTGACAATTACTAAATCGTCTATGGCTAGGTTGGAGCTTCCTGATGTCCACTTTCCACGGACCTGTAGTTGGGGTAGGTACTCCATGTGCCATCGCTTCCAGAAAGTTTGAAGAAGATGTTGTACAAATTTCCAACGTCGCATTGCATGTGGTTCTTCGCCATTTAAATCAGGTTCTGGGAACGACGTTACAGGTGCACCGAGTAAGAAGTGCGCTGGGGTAAGTGAGGTGAAGTCGTTAGGATCGCTGCTCATAGGTATCAATGGTCGGGAATTGAGGCAGGCTTCAATTTGACATAGCAGTGTACTGAGCTCACTTAGAGTTAGCTTTGCCTTTCCAGTAGTCCTAGCCAAGTGGTGTTTGGCGCTCTTAACTGCTGCTTCCCACAGCCCTCCAAAATGAGGGGCTGATGGGGGATTGAAACGCCAGGTGATCCCTTCATTTGCTAGCTGGCTGCCAAGATGTTGAGTATATTTGGTCAACTCCTTGTTCGCTCTAACGAAGTTTGTTCCGTTATCGCTCCACAGTTCTGCGGGTTTGCCTCGTCTAGCAACAAATCGTCTTAAGGCCGCTATAAAAGCCTTGCTCGTTAAGTCCTCGACTACTTCTATATGAACCGCTCTTGTAGAAAAACACACGAATATTGATACCCACGCCTTTGTTCCTGATCGACCCCTGATTCCGCTTCGGATGATTAACGGTCCTGCAAAATCCACGCCCGTGTACGTGAAGGGACGTGAACATTGTACTCTTTCCCTTGGTAGCGGTGCCATTATTGGAATTTGAAAGGTCGGTTTGCTCCGTACACACTTCACGCACCTTCGAACTGTTGAGCGCGCTAATAGTCTACCAGACAGCGGCCAATACCTCTGCCTGATTTTCGCTAATAATAACTAAGGACCACAATGCAATAATTTCATGTGATAATCTAAGAATATCAACTGTGTAATTCTGTGATTGTATGGAAGATTTATTGGTTGTCTTTGGTCTTGTGAAAGATTGGCATTATCAAGACGACCACCTACTACTATCATGCCATACCTTAGACCGATGTTCAATGACCTTAACTTGCTTCGACCAGGAATGTCCTTATTTTTTGCTAATGCTTCATGCTCCTCCGGAAAGGCTTCCCTTTGAGCATAAGTTATCAGTCTCTGTTCAGCAACCATTAACTCTTTAACTGTCAGGTAGCGTATTAGTTGTGGGGTAAGTTTAGTTTTTATGAATTCAATGAACCGCAGAATCCACGCAGTTGCTCGACGTAGGCGTTGCCAGTTTGAGCATGAATCAACAAGTCGCATTGGTAACTGCACTGTTAAAAGAACGAAACGTACGGTTTTCTACTCAGGTAATTCTTCTCCAGTTGGCAGTGATACTCGTTCGAATCGCCAACCATTTTGCTCATGAGATAGCCATTTTGGTCCACTCCACCACAACTCGATGCCTTTCATGTCTTGCGCCTTCACACCCCTCGATAACACATCTGCTGGATTATCATAAGTCCTAACATAGTACCATTGCTCAGTATTGGTAATATCTAAAATCTTTTGTACCGACAAAATAAGTCAAAAAATATAATTGAATATTATGATACGTAAGGGTTCCTAAACTTTAAAATTTCAAGTTTCGACCAATTAATCAAGCGCTGACATATTGACATATTGTCATCAAGACAATGCAAATATAAATATTATTTTTTTAATACTTATATCTATTATACATACCTAATAAGTGTTATGATAAAATTATATTTTTTGACTTATTTTGTCGGTACACTAATATCATTACTAATATATAGAGCAAGGACTTTCATGCACTAAAAAATCATCAAATATGCATTTAAAAATATGCACTTATGCATCAACAAATTTAATAAAATATGCCCCCAAAAAATTAAAACACTAAAACTTATAGCTCTTAAAATTATATCTTTTCTTTAAATATTTAGTTTAAAAAGGTTTTAACTAGATTTATTTTAATTATTTACGTGCCGTTAGATTGGATAAGACGCGCGCACTGATTTCCTTTTGGCAAACACTTTGCCACTGAACACGAATCAGACTGTACCACGCTATACCGCTCCATACTCCACGCGACGCGCAACGGGCAGTGTGATCCCGACTCATAATTGTAATCTATCGTCTTTATGACAAATTAAATAGAAACAGTTACATACAATAATTTTTGTTCTTGATTCATTAAAATATTCACCGAAGCACATGATTTTTGAAAAATCTTCAAAATATGCAAAAATATGAACTAAAAACTTTAAGCTTTTGTTCACAAATGTTGTGAAATGTATTGTGTACTTACTCTGCTGTAGTATATATTTGTATGTTCACAGCCAGCTTTTCCAGGGAAAAAAAAAGTTCAAGGGGGGAATGTCCCCTTGGAGCACTCAGATTTACCGTGTAACACATTTCACACTGATTGTCTACCTAATTTCGTCTCACACAAAAAATATTTAACATTTACCAATTTTAAAACTAAAATAATTATTTCAAGAAAAAGCACAAATTATTAAATCATAGTTTTTTTATTGTTACAAATAAATTCTTAATTATATTTACACAAGTTTTCTTACTTCTCTAGTAAAAGGTACATATTCTACAATACGATCATGAATTAAGAAACAGTAAGCAGTCACACCTGTGAGCGATTCTGAAGCTTCAATTTCCAATTGAACATCCACTGCTGAGGCTGTGTCTGAATCGTTCTGTTTCGAAGTATCGAAAACTATAATTGGTGCGTTTGTCAGAAAAGTAGAAGGACTCAATATCGGGTTGCGAATACTTTTTTCATAGTACGATTCTTGAAACGATGTATACATATTATACATTAAGGTGAAATTATTTTTAGTAAAATCTAAATTCAAATTATCGTATGGATAAGCTATATAGTTCAGAAATACTTTAACGTTTGTTAAATTACAATGATCAAATATACTACAATCTTTTGTTAGCAAATTTTTGCGTCCTTTTTGTAATCCAATTATGATAAATTGTGGTTTTTCTAATTTTGAAGCAGTTTTAAAATTCCATACAACTTTTTTAGTGGTTCCGAGTTCAGGATATTCAAAAGTTTCAAAAAATCTAAAAGGGATAAATAGACTTTTTTCTTTTTCTATAAGTTTCAATAATTTTAACCTTTCTTCGTCGTCGACCGTTATATGTGGCACCTTCCAGACTATTTTATTTAAGTTGACTTTACCTTCAGTAGCAGTTGCACCACTTTTAACTTGTAAAGCATTTAAATCACTATGACTTCGGGTTAATATTAATTCCAATCTAGAATTCACTAATATTCTTTTATAGTCTTCAAACAATCCTAACCAATATTTCAATGGAATGCAAGCACTAAATTCACCTTTGTCATTTTCTGATTGCGTTGCGTTTTTAAAATTCCAGCCAGCATTTTCATAACAATTGTAGTTATCTGGCGTACCGGATAAGTAACCTTTCAACGAGCTAGTGATTCCAAGAACACGTGTGCTATCTACTTCTATCCCATTGATTTCCAATCGTATTTGTTCGAAGAGGAAAGAGTAACCGTTATTAGATAGTTTCACTTTGGTAGCATCAGTAATTGTTCCTTCCAAAAAAATAAAGCTTTCGTGTAGATATGGGTAGACATCCGTTTGCTGGATTGATATACGTATTTCATCATTATTATTAAATGATGTAGTATACGGTGTGTATGAATGATATTCAATTTTCGTAATTTTAGAATCCGTTTCGTACTGTGAAGTTATATCTTAAATATCACTCTCAGGCATTCTGCTTTAATTGATAACCCAGAGCTTGTAAATTTTTTTTTTTTACCGTTAATTTTTTTATCTTATTTGATGTTGCTGGTAGCACTTTAGTCTTATGACTAGTTGTGCTGATCCGAAGTAGCGGGTTTATATTGAATTTCAGTCCCATCTCAAGACCCGTAACGTTTAATATGTAACACGATTGTCAATGCCTCACCAAAATTATCAATCGGATTATGATCTTGATCAACTAATTGAACGGTTATCGAATCAATATTTGTTTTATTTAATTTGTAATATATTAAATTTGGCGGTGACTGAATTACTTTCGACCCTGTCCTTTCACTCGGGAAAAACTCATAAATCGAATGACTTTGAAGATGGTTGTTGAATGATCCTTGAGCTATATTGCACATTACTTTTATAGAATTAATTGTGTTTAAATTTACAGCTTTTTCCGATCGAAGAATTTCATAGTATGGCTTATATACTCGTTTTTCAAAACCGAATACAGGTGCTATACTATATGGATACTCAAAGTGTAGTATCCCATTACATTTTATATACGATCTGAAATCATTAGGATCAACAGTAATGTCGAATGTTAAATTGGTTAAGGTTTTCTTATTATAGACATCTATTTGCTTCTTAACTCGTTGCTTAATATCTTCAATCTCATAACAACCCTCTTCCAATGTAATAAAACATATCATAGGATTATTATTGTTTTCATTATCAACTACTTGTATAGAAAATTTATTATTATTTTCATTAATATTTGGGAATGAATTAAATGACTGTAAACATAACAAAGCTATTTCTGAGTCCTCGTAAAGGTTTATAGATGGAAAATAATTTACAGATAATATGGTAGCATTCCCAGTTAAACTTAAAGTAACTGACTCGTACATTACAAAATCTAAGATATAAATTTAATAATGAGATCCGTGACGTTTAATATGTAGAACAACTGTTAACGTCTCGTTAAAATTATCAATTGGATTATTGTTTTGGTCAACTAACTGAACAGTAATTGAATTAATATCTGTTTTGTTTAATCTGTAATATATAAGGTTTACCGGAGATTGAACAACCTTTGTTCCTGTTTTCCCACTCGTTAAAAACTCATGTATCGAATGACTTTGAAGGTGGTTGTTGAATGACCCATGTGCTATATTACACATTACGTTTATAGAATTAATCGTGTTTAAATTTACAGCTTTATCCGATCGACGTTCTTCATGAAACGGTCCACAATTTTTCTTTTTAAACCCAAAAACAGGTGCTATACTATATGAAGTATTAAATCGAAGTATTGCATTACATTTTATATACGTTCTAAAATCGACAGGATCCATACGTATACTGAATGTTAGATGTGTTCCGTGGTCGTTATTAACTTGAGATAACTATTTTGCCATATAATTGTCAATATCTTCTATTTAATAGCATCCGTCTTCCAAACAAAATTCAAAAATGCGAAAATCTTCTTTGTTTTTCTTTGGAGGAATGGCTTCTAATTTCAACCGGTTATTAATTGGATTTATAATATTTGGAAATGAATTGAACGTTTGCAAAGATAACAAAGCTATTTCCGAATCCTCGTAAACGTTTAGAGATGGAAAATAATTTGCTGACAATACAGTTGAATTTCCAGTAAAACTTAATGTAATAGATTCATGCATTGTAAAAATTCAAGACATAAATGACCACAGTTAAATGTATTGAAGTCTTGATAGTTGGAATAGTTGTATACTATTTTGAACTGTCTGAAAAAATGTTGTAATTCAATTGGTGGTGGTAAATCACCAAAGCTATCAAAGTATACAACTTTGTCCTTATTTTTATAAAACGCTACCCAATGGCTTCCGTCGCCTGAAGATATATCCAAGTTTAATATACCACATTCAATAGCGTGCGGTTTTTTAGGTAAGTTATCACGTGAAAAGACTCCACGGAAATGATTGATTTTCAACTTTTCGACATATTTTATAATATCTTGGGACGAAAGCGGTCTGTCAGGTAGCGTGATCATCAGTTTTTTTTTCTTAGCCTATTCTTGTTTGATTTCAAACCACTACCTTTTTTTCTTTTTGAATTTTGAACCGCTTTATACACACTAGCACCTCCAGACATCAAACTACCAAGTGCTGACAATCCCGCAAGTATAGGTATTAAGGGAATTACACCTTTTACCACCATTCTTTTTCTTTAAGATTCTTTTTTTCTTCACTGCTAGTATACTATTTGTTTTTATAGCACTTTTCCGTTTACAACCCATACCTATTTTTCTTTTAGCTTTCATTGCGTTTGTTACTGCGTACGCAACTAATTTCTCTTTTCTAGGTGTATCTTTTGCTTTAAATCTTTCCCAAGCACGATTTTCTAACACTTTATCAGCTTTATGTCTATCGT